CTACAGAGCCTTTCAGAAATCCACTAGTGCTGTTCCCAGAACTCTGCCTGTTTTGTGCATTTCTTCTCCTGTGCTTTTGCTCATCTGAGCAGTCTTTGCAGAAATCAGCAACTGGAAACACATAACAAGTAATTCTCTTTGCCAGGTAAATGGGAACAATAGTTGAGTGGGAAAGAATGAATCACTGCCATTAACAAGAAGACTAGGGTTGCTCTCATCATCAACACAATGCAGTGTCTATTCTCAAATGTCAGGGCTAATAACTCACCATTTACAAATTAGACTTAACCCCCTCCCACACAAACCCACATAGCCCTTGCTAGCCTTCAAGCTTAGGTTATAGCTGCCTTTCTCTGGGGGCTACCAATAAAACCTTCAAAATACATATCCTCCAGACAGTCTGACTTCTTTCAAGATCAAATACTCCTCCCCTTTTCCCTTTGGATTTTGTTTTAATTACAGCTACATCACTGAAAATGTGGAAAACCCATCTAAGGCCCTAATTATCCTTAATGTAAGAGAGCCATTATTGTCTACAGATGAAATGAATAATACAACCAGTAAGAAAGATTCCAAAGTTTTGATTACCTTAATAAATTCCTAAAAGTGAAGGAACTCACAGATCTTTATCCAATGCAACCACAAATTATTAATGCAGGTGGGAGTATCAAAAGCTGGAGTGTTTCAGCTGGCATCTTACAACATCTGTTGAGATGGTGTTTTTCATCCAGTGTACTGATGGATTATAGCTACAGCCACCCAGAAAAGGTGCAACAAGGATGCCAGTTTCCTAGATAACCATCATGTAGGTGTAGAACATGAGATGCTGCTAATTTCAGATGCTCATCAGGATATTAATAACCTCCATACTTGGAAAGTAATAGGCTTGTTTGAATTCCTGGTCCTGAAATATAGACAATATCTAGGATATGTTTTTCATTCTGAATGGCTTGTAAAGTGAAGTTAAAGCAGGTAACTGGAAAAAAGGACTCAGAAACAAATTTGGAACTTGTTAGTAGAGTAGACTTAACAAATTCTGATTGCCCAGTCCAACACCAGCAGTTTTTCATTTATGAATAAATAATTCTTTCTTTCTCTGCAGATTGAAAATTCTTCAAAGTGATTTACATGCAGTTCTTAGCACAGCTGTTTGCTGGGGGTGTGTGCTCTGTGTGGGGGATCTATCAGCAGTCTGGCTACCTCTGTGTGATCTTGGGTAAGGCCTGGATAAAAATCAAAGGCCAGATTGTTCTGTTTTTCAAAATGTGTTGCCTGGGGCCTGCTAATTAATAGAATGTCTAGGAATGTCATACATCTATTGAAAAAAAGTGTCTCTTGAAAATTGCTATTGTTTTAATTGAATGTTGTCATTTTCACATAGTGACCAATATCTCAGCCTACCAGTCTTCTTGAAAGAGCAAACTGGAACATGGGAAAACTGGACACTCATAGGAAAATGCTGTCTGTTTTTAAGTTATTTTTTAGTGTAAGTCTCACAGAGTCATAAATGCTCTCACATGTTGACTGGGGGCCTTATCCTGAAATCCAGACTTGTGTTTCATTCTTATGAATTATTCCAACATAAGCCAGTGCTGGAGGCTGACTGTGAACAGGGGTTAGAGAATTGAGCTGACTTTGACCTAGCAATGGAGCATAACTCTGGAAACATTTGCCGGAGATACGGCACTTTGTGTCACGGACAGGCCAGCTGAAACTCTGAGGTTGTGCATGGCAGTAGGCATGCAGGGATGTCTACCAGTAAGTGCTTGCAGGATTGGGTGGTAGGTGGTCCTAATTTATTTGCTGTTTTAACAAAAATCTGGGATTTGTTATGGAGTGAGTTAGTTCCTCTGGGAAAGGTGGGTGTAACTTGTCAGGACATGAAGGATAACTAACCTCAGACATTTGGGAAGTTGTGTGTGTGTGTGTGTGTGTGTGTGTGTGTGTGTTTTGATGCATATGATTTTGTTATGTAAAATAGCGAGGCTCACCCCCTGCTCTGCCTGTGGGTTTCTGCACAGTTCTTTTGAAGGAGAAGGGTAGCTCATATGATGAGGTGAGAAAGAAGATGAATGGAAATAGAAACCAGGAGGAATCACTTCTTCAGCTGAATAGTTATAAGTGCTTCTAGAAATCAAAAATTTTTGTCCTGTTTCACTGGGCATATATGGGGAAAAATAGAAAATTATCTAAAGCTTACATCTTGATTTTTACAAATTTATTTGACCACAATTTATTTGTACGTGATGAGAGACATTTTTTATGATATCTGACTGTAAGCATTCCCTCAGTGCATCACATGCTGTCAAAGGAAGCTAAAATGCTTCTTTTTCTTCTCTGTGTAAGTCTTGGATTGCAAGCTGTTTTCATTTGATTTGTTTCTACCAGTGCATTAGAGCAAAGGTGTGTGCTTTGGACCATGGGTATAATTTTGAAGGCTTCTTATGTTGAAAACTCTCTCAGTTGGCAAATAGATCATTCAGTGCTATGTTTTCTGGGAACCCAGCAAAGATGATGGCATTTTGGAGGCGGAAAGAAGCAATAGGGAATGAGGGGGAGTATCTTTTTATCTGTCAAATGCAGTTGTGGTATCTCTGCAACACTGCGCTTTAAGTGCAGTGTGCTGGTCTTGGCTTTTATGAGAGTTCTGGAAGAGTTTTGTGCACTGCACAGTCTGATTGACAGAGAGGTTTTCTGTCCTCGCATGACCTTCTTTTAATTTAAAAAAAAATTCAATAAAAGTTCAGCCACACAGCAAGGGATGAATTTAAAGACTGCACACCATGTGACAGTGGTAAAACTTTCATAATAGCCGTCATATTTGTTGGTTTAAAAATCAACTTCATTGTCATAGTTAATAGTTTGCAGCTGCTGTAGAACAGAGGCAAATTGCTATGTATGTGTCAGCCTTAAATGCAAGTAAGATCCACTGACTAGGAGGACTCGGTTAGTTTTTCCTATCTATTGGTAGTATTGCTGATCATCATCTCTAAGCGATGAGAGGATTTCATTGCCACATTTCAGCACTGCTGAGCTGATTATGTGATCTTGCAAGTAAAATAAGCTTGTTTTCAGTGTCCTGCCAAAATATATTCCACAACATCCCATTAAAAAGGCTTCCAGGGTCATGCATAAGTAGGTGAAACCCCCTGCAAATCTATGGGATATCATTGGCATTGATTTAACTAATGAAGTAAAGTTATATAAAAAGTGTTAAAGAATAAGAATTTAGCACCTAATGTGAAGCTCAGTAATAAAAGCCTTTTTGGAGGATCACAAGGTAAGTTCTCTGCCAACTTATAACACATGAACGTAGTTATAATTTCCACCAGGTTTGTATCAGATAGGAATGGGAAGTAGATGAAACAATTCTGCTTCTGTCATGCTGGTGATGTGCAGAAGGTGTGTAAAGTCAAAATAGTCCAGTGGTCAAAGTGTAGCAAGCAGGCTGGGCAGGCACAGGAGTATGTGAAGTGTCTGTTGATTATCTTGGACTGAAGGCTATCCAAGAAAGCCTCCCTATGGCATTGGAAGTTGTGGCAACCACAGGAAATTATGTCTAAAGGGATCTGTTGTTCACTTAGCATGGGCAAACATAATGTTACTTTGATTTAGGGAGATCCTACTTTATTGTCCCCCTCCCCACACTGTCTGCTGTTAAAGTAGAACTGAATTTAAATTGTGGACCTAAGGGTCCAGAATGATGTGTGAGGGGTATCACTTTGAAGTCATCTCAGAAGGACTGTGGTTATTTAAAGAAGGGCATCCCTTGGTGTTTCAGGCATCTGTCTCTGTGGAGAAGTCACAGAGTTCAAAGGTGCAGGTCAGGCTGCCCAGAATGCTGTGTTCTCATGACTAAGGGTCAGCTTCTCCTTCAAGAAAGTAAATAGTAAGGGAGCAAGAAAGGCTTAATGACTGAGCTTACAAGAAGACAGTACTTTTAATGCTGAAGTCAAAGACTCGGAGTCTAAATGGTGGGAAAATTTCCCCAGGGAAGAGGCAGCCCACACAGTCCTGCACTGGATTACTGTTAGTGCTACTTCACTTATTTGGTTGAGATTTCTCATGTGTTTCCTGGACCAGAACCTGACCCTCAGGTCTCATTTACAGTTCAGAGAATTTCAGCTTGGCATTCCTGTGAACATTGTGTAATTGCAATAATTTCAACTCTTGTTATTCCTTCAAGCTTGGATAATTTGTCAATGTGCTAGTTTATTTTATTCACATAGAGACCATCACTAGCAGTGAAGTCTAAAGTAAATACATGGGATATCTAGTTAATCTGTGTGGTTTTTTTCTGCAGGCCTTCTCTCTTTATTGGTTTGTGGAGGTTGCTTTGTTTTACAAACAAATGGAAGTGTATACAAGATGGGTGGAACCTTCAAAGCACCCTGTTCAGTGTGTGAGGGCTCTAGGAGAGTGTCTCTGGAGTCTGAAAATGCCACACAATAGGTACCTCCCCCCATTTCTGAAGTATATTCCCCATCCTCTTGATGGAGTTTCCTAGCCCTGAGGAGTGAGGGACATCTGGGCTGAGCCCTGGTTATTTGTCAGCCAATTCACAATTAGACAAAATGTCTTTCTGTAGAAAGAGTAGAGAAGGAAGGAAGATCATAGAGCCATAGAAAGGGTCTCATCCAGCAGGGGATTGTGGGGCATACAAAACTTCTGTGGGAAAACTGTTGTGCGTTTCACCTCCCTCAGAGTAAAGATCTTTTTTCTAACATCTAATTTAAATCTCTCCCCTTTAAATGAAATGCCTTGTTCCCCCCTTGTCACTATATGGCCATTGAAAACGTCATTCTCCCTCTTTTTTAATTACCCCCCTTTAACTACTGAAAGACAGCAATGAGGTCTTTCCAGAGCCTTCCCTTTCCCAGGCTGAACAGCCCCAACTCTCTCAGCCTTTCTTTTCAGGAGAAAGGTGCTCCAACACTGATAATTTTCATGGCCCTCCTCTGGACTTGCTCCAACAGGTCCATGTCTTTCTTGTGCTGCAGATGCCAGAGCTGGATGCAGAACTCCAGGTGGGGTCTCGTGAAGGCAGAGTAGAGGAGCAGGACCACCTCCCTTGACCTGCTGGCCACACTGCTTTGGGTGCAGCTGAAGATGCAGTTGGCCTTCTGGAGTGTGGGCATACCCAAGAGAGACTCCTGTTAGAAAAGGTGGGACACATGTCTGGAAGATCACAGCTATAGATGTGTTGGAACTACTCTTTTAGTATTAGACCTACATCTATTTTTCTACCTTTTGGGACAGAGGAACTTGCAAGTTTTTGACCAATAATTCTCTGTCTCCAACATCCCTGAGTGTTTCCTGAAGATTGTGGACAAACAGCCATATTTTTCCTTGGTGGCAGTCATTCGTTTTTGAAGGAGGCTTCTTCATTTAGGCCTACAAGGACAGTTGCCCTCTGTGATTAGAGAAAAAGGGTGGACTTTATTTAATTAAATGTAAATACATCTGAAATGCAAACATATGCTATTATAGTAGTCCTTGAGCATTCTGTTATGATCTGTAGATGTTAAGCCAATGTAGGCAAGGGACTGTAGGTGCTGGCTCTACTTACCCTCGAGCAGACATGTAAAATAGCAAATGGACTCTGTCCATAGCAGTGTCTCTCTGTATTAATTAGAGGGGGAGTGAGGCAAGAAGAACAGAAGAGATTTTTTGTATTCTGCTTACAGTGGTGGAAAAGTTTGTAGAGATGGTGATCTGTATTTTATCTTCCTGCTCATGTTGCCTTCCTTCTCACCTCTTAACATCGACATAACTTTTCAGGGTAGGCATGAAGTAAGTCTGTGAACATAAATTTTGATTTTTGTCATTGTAGCTTTGCCTGGAACAGCACATAATCTATTGGCATTTTGGATCTGCAGGAGAAAACCAGAATGTTTCCACCATCAAAGGTCTCTTGGAGTTGTTGAAAGAAGGCTGGAACAGTCCTGGTTTTTGGACTTTCTTTTCTTAAGGTATTTTTACTCCTATCTGATTTCCAAAGAGGAGTCTGATTTTCATTTGACATTGCCCCACCCCTGTGGCATTTTTGACATTGGCCAGAAATGAGAAACCTTGAGTTGGAAAGGTGTCATCAAAACAATGACTAGATATACTTGGAAGAAACGTTTATTATTTGGCCTGCTGCTGCTGAGAGCTGCTAATTACCAAGCAATTATGACACAGACATAATATTTCACTGTCTAAAACTGCCTCTTGGGTTTAATAGCTGTCAGAAAACAAAAAGCAGAAAATTTCTGAGGAGTCCAAAAAGGGCCAAGAGATGTATAAATATTTCCTCAGGGCATCCTTTTCTACCTTGGACTTCAAGGCCAGGAGTTTGGCTATCACTGCCTCCTTAGAAAGCATTCTTGGCTCCAATATCCTGATCCATCTTTTTTCTCCTGGCTTTTCAAATAATCAAATAATAAAAGTAGGGAAGTACATTTTGCATCTGTAACTTCTGTGATCTTTGGATGCTTTAGGAGTCAAAACTCCACATGGATTTGCCACAGCTGAGGGCTGTGTGTTTGACTCAGAAATCCTTTTGCACACAAATTAGAGGGCAACCAGTGCAAAACAATGTGGTTATAATGCATTAGCTAAGCAGGAAGCATGGAGATCTGTCTCTGCTGTGTCAGGAAACAATTTGTCTGTGGAAATGGCATGGCACAGTGCTTGGGAAGACAATGCTGTGAGCAATGTTCAGTAGGCTGGCGGCCTGAGAAGGTCCTACAGGGGCACTGTCAGTGCATCAATAGGCCTGATTTATCACTGTATTATATTAATTCTACTCCAGGGTGACTCCATTCAAGTGACTGAATTTATCATAGGGTAAAGCTGGGGGGAAATAGTGCCTCATTCCTCTTGCTTTTTGCATGATTTTCTTCCACAGAGCCACATCAATACTTTCAGTTCTGTCCTCTTCATGCCCAGCTGTGACAAGGTGGGAGCTGGAAGCTTCTTATTATTGCATAGAGGAGCTGGGATATATTCCTGGTACTGGCAGAAATTTCTGAACCCCAGATTTGCCAACTAATCCTTAAAAATGCTTTCTGGTGAAGACAGACACATGAATCTTACAGTGTGGTTCTCGAGAAGGCACTTTGAAAATGGGATTTACTGTTGAGGTGGAACACCAGAGGCTGTCACACCACTAAGCTGAGAGTAAACAGAGAAGAAAGTCTACATGAGAATGCCATGAAAGTGGATATAAATGAGGGAGGGAGTAAATTCTTGCATCCAAACAGAGTTTAGCATTTGCCTGTAACATGCAGGTGCTTTGCCAGCATGAAAAGCAGAAATGAGAAGTGAAAATCTACATCTCCATGTTCATCTTTCAGCAGGCTTCCAAGCATGCACATTTCGTTCAAAAACACTACCAAGCTGTTTATGATACATCTGTGCCAACTGCAATGTTTTATGTAGTCATTGAAGCCAAATCACTGTGACCTGATGTGACTCAGTTTTCTAAAAGGGTGCATCTTGAGAATTCTCATTTTCTTCTGTTCAAAGTGAAACACTAGGAAAAATGTTGGAATGGATCTGAAAACAGTGCGGCATTCTTATGCAGAGGCAAGACTGCCACTCAGCAAACACCAGAAGAAAATCTGTCTTGGGTGTGTTTTTCAAAATGAGTCTGAAATGTTCATTGGAAAAGTGTCAGGAATATGAGACTTAAATGAACTCATTTACATGCTCTGATTTTGCCTATATCTGTGGTATTGGGAAATGCAATAATAAATTCTAAGTGCTCTGTTCCTGAAATTTTAGTTTACTTTTTTTTTTCTCTGCATGGAAATTTTTTTAGGAGTATATGTGAAGTCTCAATTTTTTTTTTCCTCTCTGGTTTTATTTTTTTCCTCCATATTTCTCTTTGTTCTTCTCCATATTTCTCTTAATATAAGTTTTATACCTCTATGTCACTTTTGAACCTGTTAAGGATATGGAGAAAAATTTAGTGAAAACTTTTATCTTCTCTTGGTCTGTTTTTTAAATTTTTTTTGGTCTTTTCTTTTGCTGCTGTTTTTCTTGGGTTATAGAAAAACTCTTCTTTATATATTTAGCTGTTTAGATATGTCCTCATGCATAGATCATGGTTTATTATGCGTTTTATTCTTGTTTCCTGAAATATGCTGAACAAATCAACAGTAGAATTTTCCAAAGTTCTTCAAATTGAGGTCAGATGCTTTCAGGATCATAAATCCTCTGGGTCAGCATAAGATATTTTGATACTTGGAATTTGTCACCATCTTTCTCTTCAGTAGCACTGCCTGGTTTTAGCTTCATCTGAGATTGAATTGAACAGTTAAGCATTGTCAGAATTTATAACTGACAGTTGGATTTATGTGTGATAATACTTACCAGTGATGCTGGGCTGTTATATTTTTTAGAGGTTTCCCCTACAGACACAGATAAAAAAGGCTTGTGTTGTTTTCCCATGCAAGCCATGAAAGTTGTTAATTAAAAAAAAAAAAAAAATATAGTGCTTGATGAGAGGCTTCCTTCTAATGAAATTAAATTCAGTATCATAATGGATGAAATAAGGAGGAGGAGATTACCCCAAATGACCTTTGTGTCTGAATCCTTATTTGAAAGGAAAAAAGACTTTTTTGAATGTACTTCCAGATAGTATCTACATTTCTTAGAAACTTGCAGGGCTTTTTGTGGGAAACCCCCAAACTATTTCTATGTGGCTTTGGCCAAAATTATTTGGTTTTCTCTTACCAAATTTCAAAAAGGTTGAATAGTTGGCTTTTCTGAAGGAAAGGCAATACTTTCCATATAGAAAGGTCCCAATTTTTTTAGCATTGCTTTTTTATTTTTTTAATTCCACATTTCTGACAAGCAAAAGAGCACAAACGTGCCAGGAAGTACAGTTCTTATGTCATGAAATTTCAAAGGGAAAACAAGATTTACAGTCTCTGGGTTTTTGCCTGCTGCAGCACTGGTCAGTGCCAATACATCAGGCTCACAATTTGACATAAATACAAACACAAATTAGTGTTTCTTCCACTGCAACATTGCAAATACTATTATGGCTAATTGCCATTGACACCAGTCAGTGAGGAACAGAGGCTGCAGTTGCCTAAACAATCTGTACTATTACTTAGAGGGATCAGCTGCCCTTCTCATACCCCTCTGCTGCAGTGATTGCTGCAGTGTTCATGTTTGTGAAAAGTGTGTCAGATAAGGAAACTTTGCCAACTGAAAACTAATAATATGAAAAAAGGAAAGTTAATGTGGACAGAAGGGAGTGGCATAAACTGAGCTAATGTAATTTGGTTGAAGTCTGAATTGAGATTGCTTTGAAATTGCAGTGCAGTCACGTTGCATGCTTGAGATTAGGCAGTGTTGGTGCCTCAGGGAATTACAGGTGTTCAGTTTTATGGGGCAGCTCTGTTTATAACCAGGCTTGGATGCTATACCTGCTGGGTGATGTGTTTTATGGGCTGTTTCAGCAGGTCAGCAGGAAGGGACAGCCCTGGTCATGAATCTTTCTCCCTGTGAGTGAAGGAGTCTGTGCTGGTCTGTGTTCCCTTTCCTAGACACAAGGAAGGGGTTCTCAGGTGATGGGGTTTTTTCCTATCCTTGTCTCTGTAGACTGTGAGGATACATTTACAGAGTCTGAAGCTGCTTTTCAGAATGTGGGAGTACAGTATTGTTGCTGTTCTGTCTATTTCTTATTTTAAACAAAGGGATTGTGCCTCCTGACTTCCCTAAATCAGGCTTGGAGCCTTCAGTTATGATTGAAATGAAGATGAAGGCTTAAGTGCAGGGATTAGATAGTTAGGATGAGGGTTTAGAAAATACCCATTTTTGCCATGAGATAATTTTGTGATATTTCTGTGAAGAAGGCTCTTCAACAAAAAGTGGATGGAATTCGGCCATAAGGAATACCAGCAGTGAGAATTTGAGATGTTTGGGAAATCAGGAGCAAACTGAAACTGAGGTCTTAGAAATGGTGGTATTTTTTTTTCTGGTGCCAAAAAGCAAGCCAAGTTATTTTGTCCTGAACAATCTGTAGATTTAATCTCTCTTGAAGTGCCCAAGGGGTTCTCTGACAGAGTTTTGGAATCTGTGGTTCTCCTTGGTGCTGTGTTTTACAGTTTCATAACAAAACACTGAAGCTAATTTCTGTAATGGATAAAGTGGAGTTCAGTATATATTTGATCTCTTTCAATAACTAGAAACCTTAACCATTTTGTAAACAAAGACTCAGCCCAGTGTGAATATGCCTAAAAAAAGAGAAATTTTATTGGATTGTTGAAGTAGTGTATCTTGTATCTTCTTCACTTATTAAAACATAAGGCCTTAATTTCAGAGTTAGGAATAAGAAAGATGACAAAGATTAGCACTAGATTGGAAACTATGAAGCCTGTGCCTAACTCCAGTGAAAACAGTTATGGCTGAGTCATTTTGATGGAAGCATGTACAGCCAATAAATTAAATGAATAGATATATGTAAACCCACGGAGGCAATGATTACATGAGGAAACTTAAGAACAATATTTTAAGATGTAGAAAGTTTTTTCATTTGCCATGACAATGTCTACTATTGTATAGATTTCCTTTCTCTTTCCCACACTCTAGGAAAAGTTGAGGCCAGAAACAGCTTAGAGACTGAACATGGTGTTACTTTAAAATCCAGCCATTCTTGTGCACATCTGCCAGTAGTGGACGTTGACCTTTCCTCTCCTGCTGTGGGGAGACGTCATTCAGCTCAGGAAATATCAGAGAAGTGACACAGCTCTGGCTTAGCACAACAGCGACCCTAAAAAATGTGGCCTTGAAAATCTTATTGTGCTGGCAAGCCAGGATCTCTGAGCATTCCCACTGCCTACAGTCCTTGGTGTGGTTGGCAAAGGTAGTGACGGTTTAATCTTTGCCCTTCTCCTTTAGCTGTAGATGTGACTAACAGTGGGAAAAGCTAATGAGCAGATGAACAGCAGATACTTTGAACTTTCAATATTTATGAGATATTTAGGTAAAGTGAAGTAGGGCAAAATTTTGTATAGAGAGGCAATGCCTTTTACTAGGCAAAATGATAGAACTGGAAAGAAACAGCAACTCTCACTTGATGAAAGGTTGTCACTTTTCCCAACTTTTACATCAGTTGTTCCAGTGATGTCTGCAGCCAGGTAAAATCACTGGTGTTTTGTTATCATTATTTATTTATTAAGTTCAATGACAGAAGACAAAATAATGTAACCATCTGCTTTGTGTGGATGTTGCAGTGAGAAGCGATCATGAGGAATATACTCATCTGTAAACTGATACTGTGTTTTAATTTGTGTATCTATCATAAAAATTATTTAGACAGAACATCAAAAATTTGGGACATATTCGGAATATGTGTCCTCAAATGTATATTCAGGTGAGGATGAAACATATTAACAGTGTGATGTTTGTGTCAGGTTACCCTTATTTTGCAAACTACCTGAAGTTATGTGTCTCACCCCATCACTACCATGTGCCATCATAGAAATCCATTTTCTCTGAAGTGTTAAGTTCACTGCTATTCAGGAAAATGTTTCTTTGAATTCCCTTTTTTCTGCTTTTAATAAATCTTGGTTTTGGCTACGATCACTCTTGCCTAGGTAATTTTACAGAAATGCCTGTACAATGCTGAGAAGCTAATCAGCTTTATGAAGAAGACCTTCAGACTTTCCAGAACTTGAAAGTCCCTCTCAGTGCCAATCATTAGACAGGAAGAGGTTATTCTGTTATATTTTAGTAAATTTTGTCTGCCATCAGGCTCCAGTGAACAAACAAAAAACCATACAGAATCTTGAAGATTAAAAGAAGGCTAAAAATTGGTGTTGGTGGGTGGCCATGTAATATTTAAAAAAAGATGAAAACAGTTTAATTTATGCTTGGCTCTTGCATTACATGAGGAATGCCATCCCTTAGCCATTGTGTCATTTGGAGCATTAGTCACAAAAGGAGCTATGTTATTTGCTGATGATATCTGCATATGGGAAATCCTCAGAGTATATGTTACGATACATCCATGGCTGGCTGGATTCTTGTGAGCTGTCTGGGACAACCAGAGTGTGTTATATGGGCAGTTCTCTATCTGCACTAAGGTAATTTTGGCCTGTGGAAAAAGCTGTCAGACATGCTGGACTCCTGTGTTGCAGGTGGTGTTTCAAATACTGCAGTACCTGGATGGCAAAGTCCTTAGAAGTGATTCAGTGGGTTAAACCCAGAAATCTGTGTTTGCCAAGTATTGTCGCAGATAAATTCTTTCAGCAGTTTTTCTAAGACAGCTTATTAAAACATAAGGCCTTAACTTGAGAGTTAGGAATAAGAAAGATGACAAAGAATAGCACTGAATTGGAAACTATGAAGCCTGTGCTTGACTCCAGTGAAAATAGTTATGGCTGATTAATTTTGATGAGAGCATGTACAGTGTTAAGACAGTGGCTAAGACAGAAATGAATGGCTTCAGAAAATGAATTAAAAAGAATTCTTACTCCTATTAGAAAAAACCCCATTATATCTGGTTTCCTATCTGTAAAACATTCTTGGAATAAACACAGCTGTTTAATATCACAAGGTAGGAAACCAATGTCTTCTTCATGTTTTCTGTTCTCCTTGCATAGTAGCTCATAGGCATTTTCCACTAAGCCAGATTGCATAGTGTGCTTGAAGATGAAGTTTAAAGTATCTGTTCCAATGGCTACTTTCAGCCTGTTTGACAGACACTTGTACAGGACAAAATGCACAGCATAATTTCTGGCTGACTTTCAGCAGTAAAAACCTAACATCAAATTCATAACTCTATTAACACTTTAATTACTTTGTGACCTCATCCTACTAGGACCAGGTTGTGTTCAGGCAGGGAACATGATGCATTCATTGTAGGATACATTGGCAACCTGATATCCACATGTAATTGGATGTGCGATATATGTGAGCTAGAATCGTGTATGTGAATGCCACATTTAGGGAGAAGCACATTTCCTAAAACATGAGAAAATGAGAAGCTAACCTCAATTATTTTCTTCTATATATGTACATGGACATAGTCACATACTGAACTGAACCTGAATAAACAAATAAGACTTAATTTGTACTTGGTAGAAAGTTCCAGCCTCTTTTCAGTGAAAACTTTGCCATTAGGTCTTAATGCATAATTAATTTTTCCCTTTACTTTCTGAACTAAAAAAAATTAGAAAGTATTTCAGATTGACTCATAGTGAAAAAATTTGTTTATCTCACTGTAATGAAAAATCCAAATGTAATGCAGATAAAACATTGTTTCTGCTTACATTAAACATTTTCTACACCAAAATACTTTATTTCATATACTTGTGGGATTTTTAATTCTCCTTAGTTTTAAGTACATTTTAAAATAAAACAATTGTTTTTAAAAGTCAAACCATTAAAAACAAACAAATAAATATTTTCAAGGCTTTTATGTAGCTCTCTGCTATCATCCTAGCTACATTTTATAGCAAATAATCTACTAAGTGGTTTTTTTTAATGTTGATTTCTAAATGATTCCTTTAGCTGTCCCGGTCATTTTCTGATGGCTGCTTGCCATGGTGTGATGTGTTTCGCAAAGTTTTCAAAGAATTGTGGTGCATACAGTTTGTGCACCTGAAAAATAAATATGGATAAATACATTTGAAGGCCCTTCCTTATCTGTGGTTGGTGCAGGCTGCAGATTAGGCTTGTCTTAATCTTAAACATCTTTAATTTCCACAGGGTAAGTGAACCTTCAGGCTTTGTTTTTTGTGTTTGGAAGGGAATCAGACTAACACTGCATTATCTAATTCTTCATCTCCTCTAAATTTCAGGTCTCCATTTAGTTGATTTTGGAAAGCATGAAGTGTTTGAGAGGATTAGAGACAGCAGAAGAAGAGGAATTCAGAGTATGTATTGAGTAAGGGATGTTGACTGTGGAGGGAGATTTTGGAGCTTGTTGTGTTTATGGACAACTACATTGCAGAGTTCATTTGAATGCTCTGGGGTTCATAAACTCGTGTGGCCTGGAAGGCAGGGCCCATTGGAAGGAGTCAGAATTTCAGTGCAAATGATTTACCCAGCTGCTAAGATAACACCTAAAGAGTTAGTGGGAAGATAATTTTTTTTTAAAAGGTCTAATTTAAATTGACAAACACACTGGAAACTGCAGATGGGCTCAAGCTGAAAAGTAGAGTGTGTGAAGCCTTTCCAAGCTCAGGCAGGTTGGAATCCAAACCTTCTCCTACTGCTCTGGCTTTTGGTTGCTTTTAAATTCCTCTTGGGTTCTTTTTTATGTCTTTTGTAAACCTAAGATGTTGGGAACATCTGGTTGCAAGTGATTTACAATTGTTTGGGTGGATATGTAATGAGAATTCACTTTTTCTCAGGTGGAGCCCTGATTCCTGAGCTCAGTGTCCATTGATGCCTAAAAGTTTGCTGACTAGCTCCCAGCTCCAGGTAGGACTAGTTCAGTTCTATTAAATTTCCAGCATCCAAAGTACATGAATTTTCAAAAGCTTTGCTTCCATCATTTCACTGTGGGGCTGGTCTGCTCTCAGCCCCAGTGTGATGGCTTGCAGTGAAGAGGCCTCAACAGTTGCTCTGTGTATTGTTGGACAGTGTAGAAATATTATTATTAGATACATATAATGCCATTCAACTCTTCATGCTACAGAATTGACAATTATCTGAGTGCTGCTTTTCTTCTTGAACAGTATTGAAGCAGTAACTAAAATTTGGACCAGTAGCCAGGAAGTCTGCAATTGATGGAGTGACAAATACAAAAGCCTGCTTTGATTTCAGCATTCCTCATTTGACAAGTGTTTACCTAGACAGTGTGTATCAAAATGAATTGTCATTTTTTGCTACCCCAAGTATTTGATGTGTCAAAACTCCTGTGAAAATAGATAAACAAAATCTGAAATTTCCAGATGGACAGATGTACTGCAAGCAATCTACACATGATTCAAGTTTGAGAATGATTTGAATCACTTGTTGCAATGCAAGCTCATGTCTTAAAATATTAAGACTTTTATCACGGAAGACTTGCTGTAATAGTGAAAACAATCTTAGTTTCTATTCAAATAGGTTATGTGTTTTGATTTTGGTGGATCTGATTTTATGTAATTCTCCACATTTTCTTAGATGTCCTGCCAAAAGAAAGCAGTGGAAAATATTCCCCAATGAGCCCAACACAGGCAGATTGACCAAAACTGTCCTTGGCAGTGGAGGTCTGCTCTATTCCTGTTCTGGTGAAATTTTGAAGATTGCTGTTGAATATATTTCCTGTGACTTACTTTGTAGACTTATAACTTTCTGTGATGACTACATTGAGAAGCAGACTGAATGCCCAAAGCTTGATTTTTCGGAGAAAATTATATGTGCCCTCTACTAGTCTTTGATATTTTACATACTTCAAAGTGCAATCTGAAGTTAAGTTATATAGTTGTTCTGTATGTGGTTTGAGAGATGTGGTTTGCAGATATTTAAAATCTCATGTGTGGACCTTAAAAGTATAGATACCTGAAAGAGAAAGTGCAATTAATTCCTGAATCTTTTTTTTTTTCCTCCCTCCTTCATTCATATCCAACTCTGTATGTCACGTGTGCCTACCAGGTAGAGATGCAGAAATGCACTTATAATGTGTAAGTTCCATATTAGCTTTTTCTGAGTGAGCCATACAAGCTCTGTAACTCTACTCATTACCTGGAATGGGCAAGCTATTTTTTGTGTAGACTAGAGAGGAAGTTTATATCAAGATGACAATTTTAACTGAGGTCCGAAAGGCAGAGGCTCAAGCGCTGAGATTCTGATACTAGTAATGAAATTTCAACAGCTTGCATAATTTTGTGTATTACTGATGAAAAGTTCATACAAACAGCTTCTTGAATTTTAGAGAAAATCTTCCCTGTTTCTTTCTGAGCTCAATTCTGAAATTTCCTACAGTAATGTCAATTTTATGTAGCTTTCTTTGCTGAATTTGGTCCTCAGATGTAGAGTATAAAGAAAGACTCGTATTCCATGTGAAAGGGAAGAAAACTACATTGCACTGGAGCCTCAATCCATATCTCATCTCTTATCTTCATACAACAAGAGTTACTACCCCTCCAGTAAAGGAAAGCTGAAATATCCCCATATCTGTCAAAATGAATAGCAGAAATTAAGAAGAAATTATTTTCGGACACCATACTCACAGACACTTATTTCCTGAAAATGCAATTTTGACGCTGAATTCATTGTTCTATCTTGCATAGTTACAGAAATTATTAGTGGTCATAAATGATTCATTCCTTTTAAAAGTCCACTGACTCAGTGACAGCTGGGAACAGTTTGTTCCTCAGGTCCACCACAGATAACAAAAAAAATCTTCAGCATTTTTAAACTTTGTAACATTTGTGACAACAATATCTTAAAAAATTTTACTCACGCAGCATTTTGTGTGGTGTGGGACTTTGAGACAGAGAAGAAAAAAGTACATTGTGTAGTGTATTATTCCTTTTTAAACATAGCCTAAATTATATGTGTCTAAGTTAACACCTATTTTCATCTATGCTTTCTAAATGTGACCTTTTTGTTTTATTTAATATTCATGTTTTAAACAGAAGGTGGGAGGAAGAAAGAAGGAAACAATGGACTGAAAAAATGTAATTTCCACTGTAAAAAGAGAGTGGTGTTTGATACTAGCTGGTGCTACACAGATTTAGTGCATATTTCCACATTTTCTTTAGTGTAGGTCTTATGAATCTTATTATATACAGTGCAAAAAACCCCTTAACATATTAAGCAATGTCTTGCATTTCTATAAATCACTACAGCTTTGCATTCTGTGTAGGGGAACTAAGTATATTGGGGAGTTGGAATAGGATCTCTAAGGTCCCTTCCCACCCAAACAATTCTATGATTCTCTGTTTCTGTGTGCTATATTACACAGGTATCAATTTTTGTGTGTGAGTATCTTGGTATCTATTGATGAAAATCTGCATCTTAGATACATTTAATAATTTTATGTGGACATTGAACAGGGGAAGGGTTTTAGTGGACCATTATTTGCAGTCTTCTGCACTGGGGATGAACTGCATCATGTACTCCCATCCCTAACCTCATTATCTTTCATCATTAGCCAATGATTACTTTTTGCTCCTGCACTTCTTTCAAGAAGCTCTTTCAAGGCTTTGTGCAGCTGATTGTAAGGAAACTTGTTCTTTTTTTCCTTTCCTAAATTAATTCAGGCCACTTTATTTCCCTCCTAACATAACCCTGCAGTTCTCCAGTTCTTACCTCATGCTAACACAATTCATAGAGAGCAGCCACATTTCATCTGTGCTCCCATTTTTGTCTGTCCTCCCAAAGTAGACTCTCAGTTCCCTAACAATGATGACTGGACCTTCCTTCCACCTGTCCTGGTCTGAGTTCATCTTTGTAACACAGAGCACTGTCTTCAGTTTGCTGTTATCTTTTATAATGACATTAATACATCCCAATTTCTATTGGAAATACTTTGCTTTTGCCATGGGCTAGTATCGCATTGTACTTATCACTCTGGTGACTCACTGTAATCTCGTGATTAAATTCTATGCCCAGGTCTTCTGCTGGATCTTTCATTTCCAACTGACCAGAACATTTTTTGTAATGGTACTTATTAGTCACAGTACATTTAGTGAAGAAATATGTTGGCTATCATATTCAGGAATAAGTAGATCCTACCATATTTGGTAACATATTTTTTCCAATATGTCTCAGAAATTTATGTGTCCACACAATGATACATTTGCTGATAGCCATTTTCCTTCCAACAAAATATTAATGAGGCCCTCATCCTGGTTCAGATTTGATCCATGTGAGGCAATGGTAAACTTCTGACCCTAATTCATCTTAAAGTCCTTCATTCAAATTGATTTTGACCTTAAAAGCTATGATTTTGTCCACGTTACTACAGATTTTTATTTGCAGAAATGTTCTTTATTAAACTATGGCAGTATTCTACTCCTGATTTTGTTTCTAGCTTTCAGAAGATTATCATATATTTCAAGATCCACTTTCCAGTAATGAATGTTAGTCCACCAAGTCTTGTTATGGCTTTACTGTATAATTTCAGGTCCTCCCCTGTTGGTTTCACTTCCTCTGGTTTGTAACTTTGCCACCTTTCATTGGTTTCCAAATGGCAAAGTTGTCTCTGTGTTACCTCACCCATTTCAACCCAATTCTTTATAATCCTTTCAGTAACTGGACTGTCTCCATGACTACTCCTATATTCTCTGCTTATATTTTTCTTTTTGCTGCTTCTGCTGATATTTTGTTTTTCTTTTTACTGAACCCTTTCAATCTTTTGCCTGTGTAGCAAAGTGGGATTTGGAGAGTTGAACATGACTTTTTTCCAGTTTTCTTCCTTGGGTCTCAGCTTCTGAATGGTGATGCTAGTTTGAATCTTACAAAATCAGTCCCTCAAGAACTCTGGTAGAGGCTGTTTCATGTGGTCATTTTCTCCAAATGCTACCTGGTATATTTATTTTATTATATTATTTCATTTAATGTATGTGTCAGACCTGAATCATAACATGAATTGGTTCTTTCTTTCCCTGTGGCAAGAGGTTAGAATATTTGTAGAAATATTGTCCTTTACTGTAAAGGGATGTAAACAATTTATTCCCCCCGTTCAAGAAACAGCCCCTGAAGAGAATGTACAAAGTCCAGAATCTTGATTTGGCAGCAGATTTATTCAATGTAAATCTCATGTAAGCCACAAAGCCATTTTGGCTGCCACTTCTCAGAAAGCTGCTTGTGGATGTAGTGTATCCACTGACAAATCTCCTTCCTGTCATCCTGATCCAAAGAAATGTCCCTATGGGAATACCTCTAGAGAGACACATGATCTTCAGTTGGCAGCCCTTTTTTTCTTTGGATGCCTGGCTTTTTGCCAGGAAAGGCCATTTCTTGATTAATCTGAAGGCAGTATGTATTTGTCCTATTTCTGATTTCTTCAGATGCCTCTCACTGCTCATTCCAGCTGACTGGACAGCTGGCTTATTCTGGACAGAGCCAGGTAATTCTTCTTTGTGGAGCAGGTGTCATTGAACACAATCAGTACATTCCATTAAGTCTGCCAGATATCTCTGACTTAATGGAATGTAATTTTCTGTTTCATTTAAGGGGCTTGGGAATGTATAGGGGATCCACCAATGTAAGAATACATTTGAATAGAAATACAGTGATGTTTAGTTTCATCCCCTAAGTCCAGTCAAGTCTCCAGACAACTCTAAAATCACAACTATTTGGTCGTCAGCCTTCCAATTAATTATTGCAGGAAGTGTTACTGGCTGCAGTAGATGCTACATCTCTCCCAATGTTTAGCAGTGGGTCATCATGTTTTAGAAGAATTCTGTAATAGAAGATTCTGGCACTTCATGATCACTTTTTACCCTCTGTCTTTAATGACTGGTTCACTCATACAAAACTTGTGC